GGGACCATGACCTGAGCCAAAGGCAGATGCTTAATGACTGAGCCACCCAGGCACCCCAGCTTCTTAACTTCCTAACCAGCTTCCCTGCCTTCCACCCCACTTGCAGTTTTCCTCTGTCCAAAACATCCTCCTCCTCACTGCTGCTGCTCAGGTTAATTTTAATAAAACACTCTTTAGATTATGACCTCTTCATGCTCAAAAACCTTCTATGGCTCCCATTGTCTTTGAGTATTGAGTCCCAACTCCTGGCAATGAAGGCTCTCCTAAACTGGTCCAAACCTAGCCAGTTCAACAGGCATTTCCCTAGTGCCCACTGTGCACCAGCCTCAGGCTTGGCTCAGGGATGGGGATTCAGCAATGAATAAGATGTAGTCTCCTCCACCATCTAGTGGGAAGTCAGACAGATGAACAGACATTTTCTATAATACATGGTAAACAGTAGGATAAAGGTAATCTCAGGGAGCTACAGGATCTTCAGGAAGCGTCCCTTTCTGGTCATATCCTCAGCCCCTCTCATCCAGATCCTCCCTATTCTGTATCCCACACACATCCTGGCAACTCTATCTTTACCTTCAGGTGGGTAGGGCCTGTGACTCGGATAATAACACCTGCTGCACATTATTCCATTCATTTGTTGGGCCACTGCCAAGACTGCATCTCTTCAAGGGCATCAATAGTACAATGGATAAATCAATTGATAGAATCACTCGGTGGAACACTGCAGGGCAATGAGATGAATGGGCTACAAGGACGTGCAGTAACATGGATGAATCTCACAGGCCTAATGTTGAGTGACAGAATCCAGACACAGAAGGGTACATAGCATTATGACCCCATTTACATAAATTTAAGTATAGGCAAAACTAATCTATGGTGTTAGAAGTCAGGATACAAAAGTTTCACGAAACAATGCTTACTCTCATTATGTGTGATGTCTTCTATTGTTTCTTTTTGGTTCTCTTTCCTTCTTTTTTAAGTGCTGGTCATCACCCGTGAATTGACCTGATGGAAGATCAAAACCTACAGTTTGAAACACACACTACTCTAGTATCTCCATTGGAAAAAGCAAACCAAGTAGTCCTCCTTCAACCCCACTTTTTCCTTGAGCTCCTGCCTCATAGCATGCTTCCCCTTCACAAACGAGCTTCTGCCAACAGGGCAGTCCCTCTCTCCTCCTTCTTTCTTCACTCTGCACTGGCTAACTTTGACTTATCTGTTGCATCGAATCCACTCTAGCAACCAACAATCTCCATGTTGCCAATCCAGAGGTCACTCCTCTGCTAGCCCTGACTTTGCTTCTCAGTGGCTTTAACCTCTCTTGGCATCTGTGATGGTGAATTTTATGAGTTAACTTGGCTAGACCAATGGTGCCCAGATATTTGGCCAAACATTATTCTGGATGTATCTGTGAGGGTGTTTTTGGGTGAGCTTTACATGTAAATCAGTGGACTTTGAGTAAAGCAAGTTGTTCTCCATAATTTAGGTGGCCCTCATCCCATCAGTTAAAGGCCTGAATAAAACAAATGGCTGACCTCCCCTGAGCAAGAGGAAATTCTGCCACCAGACTGCCTTTGGATTTCACGCACAACACTGTCTTCTGCTTTGCCAGCAGACTACCTTTGGGCTTGGACTGCGTCTCCAGCCAACTGGTTCCCCCAGCAGATTTTGGATTCACCAAGCCTTTGCTATTGTGTGAGCCAATTCCTTAAGAGAAATCTCTTTCTATGTATATTCACATCCAATTGGTTCAATTTCTCTGAAGAACCTTGACTAATACAGTATCTAAATTTGCACCCCCTCGTCTGTTCCTTATTAACTGCCCAGCAAGGAGATTCTTATTTGTTTAATAAATATAAATAAGGTTTAATAAATACACAGTATTTTAAAAATACACAATATTTAGGGGCGCCTGGGTGGCTCAGTCGTTAAGCGTCTGCCTTCAGCTTGGGTCATGGTCCCAGGGTCCTGGCATCGAGCCCCACATCAGGCTCCCTGCTCAGTGGGAAGCCTACTTCTCCCTCTCCCACTCCCCCAGCTTGTGTTCCCTCTCTTGCTGTCTCTCTCTCTGTCAAATAAATAAATAAAATCTAAAAAAAAAAACACCACAATATTTATTGAATTATTATTCTCTCTTTAAAGAACCCATTTCCCTGAAGTACCACCCTCTGACTGACTGCTCAGTGAGGAAGTACCTCCATCATGAGGTTTCTTTCTTTCTTTCTTTTTAAGTAGGCTCCCCACCCAGCATGGAGCCCAACTCGAGGCTTGAACTCATGACCATGAGATCAAGACCTGAGCTGAGATCAAGAGTCGGATGCTTAACCTACTGAGTACCTTCCATTGTCAGGTTTCTGTATGTCCAACTTCTGTCCCCAGTAGGTTCACAAGGTAGTTCTCCTTTCTCCTTTCTCCTTTCTATATCTTGTTAATTCACTGAACACCTGCCATTTACTAGCTGTGAGATCCTGAGCAAATTATTTACCTCTCTGCCTCAATCTCCTCATTTATAGAACATGGACAATAAGGGCACCTGGTTGGCTCAGTTGGTAGAGCATGCAACTCTTAATCCCAGAGTCATGAGTTCAAGCCCCATGTTGAGCATGGAGCCTACTTAAAATAGAATAAAAAAAATACATTATACGGCGCCTGGGTGGCTCAGTTGTTAAGCGTCTGCCTTCGGCTCAGGTCATGATCCCAGGGTCCTGGGAT